TTTTCTGTATGATTACATTTTAGCCATTTCCTAATTAAAAAACAATAACCTTTTTTTAGGGGGTAATTTTATATTTAAAGAGAGCATTTACGCATTTTAGTCGCTCAATTTTATAAAAACGTTCTTTCATTTATAAAATTCATAATTAAATAATTAATCCGCTTTAAAATACATTCACTTTTAAAATTCAATTTTTAACAACTTTTAACAACACTATCATATCTCTAACAATCTTAAAACCAAGTTATATACCATGGCAAAATCCACATCCACATATTGCTTTGTTTTAATTTTTTTAATCATCTTTTCCCTCCAACCATCATCCGTAAACGCTGGTCCTCTCGCATATGCAGCATGTCAAACAGCGTGTAATCTTGGCTGGGTCTCTTGTTACGGAACCGCCGGATTGGCAGCCGGTAAATAATATATAAATATATTAATGATATTAATGACAAATTTATTGAATTCGTTCTTGGATTTTTTAGGTACTGTTACTGGAGGTCTTGGTGCCCCCCTTGCCGCTGTCGGATGTAATCTTGCTCAAGGTGCTTGTATGACAGCATGTGTTTGTTTGTTAACTGCTCCGACTCCCTAGAGAAACTTCTAGATTCGAAAAGTTTCTCATTACAATATAAGTTTGGTAAAATTTGGTAGTTCTTATTTTTTTTTTTTCATAATGATAAAGCAAAAAAAAATTTATATACATTGCTAAAAAAAAAAAAAAAAAAAAAAAAAAACAAACAAAATTAGAAAAAAAAATTATCAATTTTCCTTTCCTCTTCTATTTCTTGAATTTATATAGGATTTCTTTATTTTTTTTTTTGTATATGTCATTTATAAACATTCTTTTAATGATATCAAGCAATAGAATTCATTAAAAGAACAAAAATAATTGCTTCAATCGCAAAATATATGACCGAATAAATAAAAAATTTCAACGCCCTAGTTTCAAAGGTTGAATTCTACAAAGTATCACTTTACAAATGATTTCTAAAAAAAAACTGATAGTGTAAAGGAAAATATACAAGAATAAATATCTCGTCACAAGAATAAAGTCGAAGCTCAAATTGCCGTGCTTTTGCATATTCACACGGCGGTACCTCATTCGTTGAAAATTCCCAATAACTTTAATAGTGTCTTTGATTTTCAGAACTTTAAAATATTATAGAAAAATCCCCTACAATATTTCAAAAAACGAGTTTTTTTTGTGTTTGTTTGTAACCTACGCCATTTTTTTTAATGCCATTTTATCATTACGATAGAAATGACAGATGTTACACTTTAGTAATTTTTTTACTAAATATAAAACGAGCATTCGCTAATAAGTAAATATTAAAATTTTAAGAATCCATCTATGATCAATTTTTTTGTTGGTAATTATCATAAACTCATTCAAAATGTTATATGGCAACATATGTTGGTTTATTGGTTCATAAGCACAAAAAAAACTAGCCATTTTCCTTATTTTCTTGCAAAGTTATAATATTATTATATATTTTTTAAGGACCATAAATCATAAATTATATTTTAAAATTATAATTTGCTGCCAATATTTTGAAATGTAGGAGTTAAATCTTTTTTATCGTCTCACTGTCGCTGTAACACTATGAAAAAAAATATATTTTTTTATATTATTAAATTAATTAGCGTAAAATGAAAATTTGTCGTGTGAAAATAATGGCATTTTTTTTTTTTATTTCAATTACAGAGGATATAAAAATTCTTAAATTGTTTGAATATAGTTCAAGGATTAAACGTTGATCGAATTTAATTTTTTAAAATAGTTTCTCTTAAAAGAACAAACGATATTCAAAAAAAAAAAAAATTTCGGTAACATGAAGTAATGACAGACATAATACAACAACATAAATGAGACTAAAACGATCACAATAACCTATAATGATTATCGGACAACCTGTAATACCGCCAATTTCGTCATTTCCTAATTTGGAAACAAAAGCTTTTCAAGATATATAAAGAGTAACGGTAGACATTGATATTTTTTATAATTCAATTTTATAAAATAAAATTAACCATTAAAAAATATTTTTTAATAAAAATTAATATTAAATCATAAATCATGGCAAAATTCATATATTTCTTTGTTTTAATTTCATTAATAATATTCTCTCTTCAACCATCCAACGTTAACGCTGGACCTATTGCTTATGCGTCATGTCAAACTGCTTGTAATCTTGGCTGGGGTACTTGTTATGCCGCTGCTGGATTAATTGCCGGTATGTTATAATCTATTATTATCTTATGATATTAATGACAATTTAATTGAATTCGTTCTTGAATTTTTTAGGTACTGTTACTGGGGGTCTTGCTACACCCCTTGCCGCTATCACTTGTAATCTTGCTCAAGGTGCTTGTATGACGGGATGTGTTGTTTTGTTAGCTGCTCCGACTCCCTAGGAATTTTATATTTCTCATTTCAATATAAATTTGAGTAAATTTGGTAGTTGTCATAGAACACAAAAAAATATATATATTGTTAAAAAAAAAAAAAAAAAAAAAAAATTTATCAATTTTCCTTTCCTCTTGAATTTATATAGGATTCTTAATCACAGTATTTTTTTTCTTTGTATATTAAATCATAGCATATTCTTTTAATGATATCAAGTATAGAACTCGTTAAAGAACATAAAATAAATTTCTTACAATCTTTGATCTTATAATTTAGTTGAAACCAAAATGATTTGCATTTTAAAATAATTGCTTTCAATCACAATCTAAAATTTTATGACAGGGAATAAATAACAATTCGTTGAATTCTATAAAGTATCGCTTAACAATTTCA